CATTTCTTCAGAGGTTTTATTTTTGCTTCTGCCAGAAGCCCTGATTACTCACCTAGAACTACTTTAAAATAAAATCTTGGGAATTTGGGGAACACAAGTAAAGTCAGTTCCAGCATCAAGCTGAGAGAGCATCTGCCCCGAATTACAGATTCTTCTGAGCACTCTCTATCCACAGTTAGGGTTCGTAGCTTCTTTGTTTTCCCACTTGATGTGGCAGCTGCTCCCAGCTTCTCCTGTCTGTCAGAACATTGCCCTTCAGACCCTCTAAGTCTTCTGTAATTCTCTGCATAGCTCACCTCTAGGATCTAAAGGTCCATCAGGTTCCTCAAGGGCAGTGGCCATTCAGGGCTGCCCAGCTCCTTCGGATTCGTGCTTTGTCACAAAAACTTCCTTTCTTGCATTAAAAAGGGAGGGGTTTTTATGTATTTTTCTGGGCCATTTACATTACCTGTGGTAAGAATGGGATGGATATCTGTTTCACAGTAATGACAGGGGAAAAACTATGTCTCTGAAAATGTTTTCAAATGCCCCAAATTGGGTAGAGTTAAATACAGATAAATGGTGCAATAGAAGAATAGTAGCTCAGATTTTTAAATGCCAGTTGTTAAGGTAAACATATGCAATTTGTGGCTGGAACTCACTGCTCTATAGCACTTCTAACTTTTTAAAGGTTCAAGAAAAAAAGACTATTTTTAAAAAGAAACAAAGCCTAGTTATTGTTACTAGATACATAAAAAGTTAACCGTAATAAGCCATTCTTGCCGTTGCACCTTTGAATTTAAATTTCCCTACTTACCGAACTTGACTCCGTGTTTTAGGCACAGCAGTCTACTATCATAACTCTTACCACCACGCTGCTGAATCCAGGATAAATAACAATTTCTGGGAGAAAAATGTTCTGCTCTTGCTTTCCTTCCAGAAAGAGGTTAAACTCCATGCAGTCACAGTCACATTCTGCAGTTGCATTCTTAAATGCAAAAAAATTTCAATAAGTAGTTGTTTCCCTCAGGAAATACTGCTTGGTTTTATGTGTTTAAGTGAGAGTGATTAATAAGTCTTTAAAGATTCCAAGTCTTTAAAAAGGCATTCCTTTATTGTTGGTCACTGCCGGTTACCCCAATTCCCTACTTTTGGATCTATATAGCAAATTATGGTTTCAGTGACAGGATGTGTGTGTTCTGTCAACTCTTTCCTATCATCAATCCCCTGCATATTCTCCATGTTGCCTCCTTTCCTTCTTTTGTATGCAAACCAGTCTATGCAGCTGTACCATTTTTAACAAGATATAAAACTGCTTCTTAGAACTGTCCCACCTTTCTTATTAGTACCTTCTTTTAATCTAGTCAGTTATTTGCTACTGGTGCAGTATTTTCCCCTTCCATCGGCTTAAACTCGGTTTATTGAAACTTCGGACCATCTGTTTAACTTTTCTTTCCCCTGTACTGGGGACTGAACCCAGGGCGGTCAGGCTCAACCCAGGCATGACTTTCCCAGCAAACATGATATTTCAGCAAATTGCCACCCCTGAAAACATGCTGCCGTTGGCAAACAACGGGAAATTGCAAGCGGGTCATGTTGTCCCTAGACAAGCAGATCAGGATGTCATGAAGAAGAGCTAAGACAGAACTTGAGACCTCTGCAGCATCAGAACACCTGATAATAGGATCCCTTTCCCAGGTCCTATAAAAAGCCCTGCATCTCATTGTTCAGGGTGACGATCTCCTTGTCCTCAGTCTGCCTGCAGCCAGATACAAGAAACCTTGTGCCACACCATCTTATCCAAGCCTGCTTGGGTGGTCTCGGACTTGTGCCACTCATTGCAAAGGCCTTCAACTTAAACTGTATCTCCAGCTCATTTTTATTTTATTTTATTTTATTTTCTATTTTGAAACAGGGTCTCACTAAGTTGCTAAATTGCCCAGGTTGGGCTCAAACTTGTGATCCTCCTGTCTCAGCCTCCCAGAATGCTGGGATTTCAGGCATGTGCTATCACACCCAGCTTTGATGTTAATACTTTTTTAGAATGATTCACAACTGCCTCTACCCAAGTACTAAGTCCATAAATTAGAGGGGACCACTGGGGGCATCTCTGTGTAGTAGAGCAGGAAACAGGTTTCCAGAATTAAGGAATACTGTGAATAGATAGACCAGGTGGCCAAGTTAAGAATGTGTCTGAAGCTGGACAGGGATTCAAAGTCCCAGCCTAGGCTCAGCAACTTAGTGAGAACTTATCTCAAAATAAAAAACCAAGGAAAGCCAGGGTGTGCTTTGGTGCTAAGGGCCTGGGTTTAGTCCCCAGTGCTATTAAGAGGGTGAGGTGCTCTAAGAGAAGCCTTTCCTGGTACTTAGGGTATGTGGGGAGCCACAGCAGACTGCTTCAAAGGTTGGGGTGTCTGTAGACACACTAGGACAGGACCTGCTGTCTAGCACAGGCACACAGCAGGGTCCTCTTATGTAAGCAGGACTTAGCACAGACAACCACACATTTGCCATGGTTATGCCAGTAGGCAGGAATATAATACTGATAATGGTCAACATACAGGCTGAACAATAAAGACATTTGCTATTGTTGCTGATGTCGGCTCCACACACTTTCCTTTCCCTGGGGCTCTCACCCGAGAAAATAGCCCTTCAGTCCCCTGACCTTGACAAGTGGCATAGTCGGCAGGATGAGGTGAGTGTCCCCTCCTTGGCATCTCTGTAAACAGCACCTGATGGTGAGGGAGACCCCAAGGAGTTTGCTAAGGTGCATCCCCCAGCCTCACCCCGACTACCTGTAGTCACCTTTTTGGTGGCTTGGAAGGCCCCTGAGGACTGGAAAGTGGCCCTTCTGACATGTTAAGGGCCTTAGGTATGATTGATATGCACATCCCTCCCCCCACTGTGAGCCCGCCAGGTGGGTTGGTTGGCTGTTCTTTATTCTGCTGTGTGAAGCAGGAGGCAGATAGGCCAGCTGCAAGGCCCAAGGTCGACCTGGAGCAATGCCTGGCTGCTGCAGAAGCCATGTTGTGAGGCACAGGAAGTGCCGCCTCCTCCGGAAGCATCTCCAGAAGTGCAAGTCCTAATTCCGGGAGAACCTCCGGAAAGTCCCCTGGTATTGCATGTAACGCCTGCTATTCCCCAGAAGGTGGAGGCACAGGAGGCCCATGCTTTTTGCTGCGGTGCCTTGGCTCCATAAGAAACTGGGACATGTAGAGTCAATACTATGCAAGCTGCAACAGAGTGATGACACCTGGATTCAGCTCCTACTGAGTCAAATCCTGCAGTAAAGGCATGACTATAGTGTACCCATTTGGCCCACTGGAGGAGGATGGTGCCCAGACATTGGCAGGATACCACAAGCACCTCACCCTCTGCAACAATGGCAGGTGGACTATATTGACCCTTGCCTCTCTCACGGGGACATAGATATGTTCTGACCACTGTGGATACAGCCATGGGTGTCGGCTTTGCCTACCCTGTTTCCTCTGCTAAACAAGCCATACCATTAAGACATTACAGTGGCTGACTACTGAGTATGGGATGCCAGTAGGAATAGCATCTGGCAGGAGAACTCACTTTACAGGCTCCAGTTACAACAGTGCGCCAGAGACAATGATGTCACATTGCATCAACTGCAGGCCCCTGGTACAATTGAGAGGTACAGTGGGCTTCTGAAAAGCAAACTGGCCTGTTTGGCTCCAAAGTTTGCTGGGTGAGTGTGAGTCTTACCCCAGGTGGTTCAGTTGCTCAATGACCAGCCCCGACCTACAGTGACAGCCTATCGGATCACCTTCTGAAAGCACAGCAGGTCCCTCTGATATTCAACCCACAGAGCAGAGTCCTAAGGTGATGAAAGGGTCCTTAATACTTCCAGCATTGGAACCTATGCAGTCAGGAGTCGGTTATCAATGGACTTGGGACTGGCCTACAGAACCCCTAGTGGGGCATTGGGAGTTCCTCTTGGAGCCCTGGGGAGAAGGACTAAGACATGCAATGGAAGTATAGCCCTGGATTTCACATACCCCTACGGAGTGTACTCTCCACCTGATACTGGAGCCACCATTGTGAAAGGAAGTGATGTCATGGTGCTTGACCATCCTCTGGAGTGAAGGACCTGACCCTGACTCTCTTACCCCTGGTAGCAAGAGGAAACCGTACACTGGACAGGACTCTATACCTGGGGATTCCCACCTATTAAGGGCAATATGAGACCCATCATCACAGATACACCCCACAACAGGGACACTGTGTTTCACAAATGAGAAAGGTGGTTTTGCAAAACCACATGGCCCTTGATTTGCTGACCTCAGTGCAGGGAGGGACTCGTGCCCTCTTGCATGTGGAATGTTGCATTTACAGTCCTGCCCACCAGACACAGATAATAAGATGCCTTGCAGAAAATGGGTGTGGAGGTATCTGCCATCCAGGCCTCGCAGCAGGACCTGCTCACTCAATGGTGGGAATCCTTGGGGTCCACCTGGTGCTGTGGTGGCAGTGGGATTGGGGGTGCTTTGCTGTTCCCTTTACTGTTGTGGTCTGTGTGAGGGGTCAGGTCTATGGGCTGCTCATAAGAAGCAATGTTTCCCCAATCTTTGAGAGGGTGGGATTTAAGGAGCCACAGCAGATTGCTCCAAACACAAGGTTGTCTGTGGACACACAAGGACATGACCTGGATGTCTAGTGCAGGCACACAGCAGGGTCTACTTATATAAGCAGGACTTAGCATAGACAACTAGGCATGTGCCACGGTTATGCCAGTATACAGGAAAGTATCAGCTGAACAGTAAAGGCGCTGCTGCTGCTGCTGCTGCTGCTGCGGCTGCTGCTACTGCTGCTGCTGCTGCTGAGGTGAGTTTCCTGTGCTCTCTTTTCCTGGGGATCTTCAGCCCCAGTCCCACAGTGACTCGCCCTTCCCAGCCTGAAGCCCCAGCCCTGCCTGATGGGGTGAAATCCTCCACCTGCTGCGACAGGCTGCTTGCGGCTGTGACGGCCCATCTTGGCTCAGGCTTCCTCCACAGAAGCTCCCTTGCCTAATTTTAGGGAGACCTGCCCCCAAAGAAAGAAAGGGACACGGCTATTGTCCCTCTCCTTCAGAAGTCCTTGAAATCAACCCATCCACTGAACAGCCTGACATTTCCAGCATAGACTGGCCAGGCAGAGAGTCCTCAGGGAGCAAATTGTTGGGGGACAGGGAGCTGGGGTCAGGGGACCACCCAGCCACCAGTCTTGGTATTTTCACCGGAGCGGCCCACCTCTTCTCACTGAGGCGTGAAGGCTGTTACTACACCTGCTGCACCTGTGTACCAACCGCTGCCCTTCTTCAACTAAGAATCCCAAGCTCCCTGCTCCATAGCCAGCTCCGTGCCTTCAAACGACAGCACGTCCTGTGTCCTGTGTGCCCTGTGTCCTGTGTGCCCTGTGTCCTGTGCGGGAGCAAGTGCCTGCAGGCACTCGGGGCCGCCTGGCCAAGATTTCCAGGTCGGCTTCTCAGGCCGGCTGAGTGGTTCCGCTCCCCGCTCAGGGGCTCGCAGGCCCTACCCCTTGACGCATTCCTGAGGACTGCAGGGGCCCGCAGGCCTGCCGCTGCCCAGACCCCACCGCCCTTGCAGCCCGGGCTGCCTCTGGAAAAGCAGAGCGGGGTCTTGGGCCTGGACAGCGGTGACCTGAGGGCAGCTGCGCAGTACAGGGTGTGGGCTGTGGGAAGGTGCTGGGGACCCAGGCCAGCCCTGGGGAGGGATGTGGCCTCTGCTGCTGCTCGGAGAGGACCCCTCAGGGCAAGCTGGTGCAGATGCAGCCAGCCACAGCTCACCGGGGGACTGTCAGGGAGGAGCAGCTGGCCTTCCCCGCAGCCCTGCTGCCCAGGCTCGCTGTGTCTAGGCCCAGGGCAGAGCAGGGCCAGAACAAGTGGCCAGCAGCACCCCTCCCTCTGGGGTGGCTCCAGCATCCCATCCCTGCCCCTCACCAGGCCTTATGGGTACAGCACAGGGCTGAAGAGCTGCCTGGCCCAGAGCCAAGTCCTAGCCTGTTCGGTCCTGACCAGGGAATGCAATCCAGCCCTGGGACCACTGAGCCTGTCACAGACCCACTTTGGGAAAGCCAAGGAGGTTCTGTAGGGTGTAAGAGAGTCCTGCCTGGCAGGCTGTGTGCTGGGCATACCTGTGGTCACAGTTACTTGGGAGGCTGAGGCGGGAGGATTGAAAGTTTGGGATTAGCCTGACCAATTGAAGGAGACTTTGTTTTAAGAAATTTTCTCAAAGGAGAGGGGCTGGGGACATAGCTCTGTGGAAGAATGGCCCTGGATCCACTCCGTGCAGGATGTGGTAAAAAACTTAACCTGAGAGGAGTGAAGCCAGAGTTTGAAAGGGATTTCTACTTTGTCAGAAAATGAGGGCAAGGCTGAGCAGATATTCTGGATCCCTCAGCTCCCCTCTACTTTCACTTCTGTGTCAAAGTGTAACAAGAGCGCCCAGAGACTGGTGTGGGGGCGACAGCCAAAAGGTGCACAGACGGACGAGGGCAGAAGGCGGTCGGTGTTGGGGGCGCAGGTGAGCAATAAGCCGGAGAACCGGCGAGGGTGCTGACCCCTAGCTGCACGAGAGAGCAGACACTTCTGTTGCAAGACCTGGACCGTGAGTGACATCCGGACCGGAAACAGCCATCAGCCTCCTTGTCCTACAGACCTAAAGGGCTTTCTGTGATTTTATGTCCCATATCCCTCACCACTGAAAAGTTCCAGGGACCGCTGTCCCATATGGTGGACATTAGCCATAGGTGGCTATTTAAATTAGTTACATTTAAATAAAACTAGGTTTAAAGAAGATTTAGTGTTGCATTTGAAGCGCTGAGTCATCACCTGGGGCTAGCATGTTGAACAGAGCATACAAGAGGTGCTCGAAAGATGTGATAAATGTTTAAATTAAAAATAAACTTGTTACGGGTAAAGACACAGCACCAAGAAGGATGGGTGTGTTCCAAGCAAGGGGAGTATTCTGAGGGGCATTAATGGCAATGTGTCTTTTACTGTAATAAATTATGTTATTTAAACGTTCAGTATATGTTTTGATCATCCCTCACTGGCTAGTTTATAGCAAATTCTGTCACACACATTACAGGGTGTCCTTGCCCACGCTGTTCACCGGATGTGGCGCCTTGCCACTTCCGGCTCTTCCTCACAGTCAGTAGGAGCGTGAAAGGGAAATGTTTAGAATTGATGCAGGACATCAAGGCTGCTGGGTAAGTACTCATGAAATAAGACTTCTTAACTGTTTCAGAGAGTGGCAAGAAGGCTGGAACAGGGTGTTCAAAGTAAGGGGGCATGTTTTGCTGAGTATTAATGGTGACATCTTTTACTAGAATAAAAAACAATAACAACAAAAAAAACAAAACCATGGGCATTCACCGTATTTTTTGATCATGCCTTGTACAGAGAACTTCCATCGTCACGGAAATTTCCCTTAGATGGCACTGCTGTTGAGTGGCACACGAGTATTCCTCCACGTGATCGAGCGGGTGACTGGCTCCGGTTTTCAAGCCTGAGGCCCAGAGCACACCGTGCTGGGAGAGCCCAGGAAGGCCCCAAGCTCCTGGAAAATCAAGCGCTGGGCTTCCGGGCTGAGTCCCGTCAGGAAGTCTGCCGGGCGCTGGCTGCCTGCCAAGAGGCCTCCAGTCACCTCACTCTCCCTGAACCACCGCTCTCACCCCAGCTTCCTTGCCTTCCAGTGGGTGCTCAGAGCCCCCAGGAGACTCAAAGTCCTTTCTGACTGGGCAAGAGTTCAGGTGGAAACCAACCAAATGCCTTTATTACATGAAACGGAAAGCACCAGGGTGTAGCTCAGGGGCATAGCCCTTGCCTAGCAAGTGTGAGGCCCCGGGTTCCAGCGCAAGCCCTGGAACAAAACAAGTAAAAAGGGAAGACGGGGAGGGGAGCAGGCATCTGTGTTGTGCAGGAAGAGCTGGGCTCCATGTTCAAGTCTGCGGTCACTGTGCCCAGCCTTGCCGCAGGCTCACAGGCCCTGGCCCCTCTTCAGCACGTGTGCAGGCAGCTTTGGGCACGCTCCTAGTTTCTGTCGCCCTCAGCAGTTGAGCACTGTCAGAATCTGCAGGCTCAGTCAAGCACAGCCTGGTCCCTATGTAGAGGATCCATCCCTCACAGACTTAGTAAGTAACGCCTCTCATGAAAGGGGAAAGTTCCACTGAGTAAAAACTATATGCGTAAGAACAGCCAGGCCATCCATTCATTCCAGGTTCAAATCTGCTGTTTGCCATGAGCAGTCTGGGTGACACTGACGCACTGCAGTGAAAGAAGCCTTTTTCTTTTTAAATTAACTTTCTCAGGGAGCAGAGTGACCTGGACCATCCCAGAGTGGCTTGTGACACAGGCAACGTCTACCTTTAGTTTAGACACAGCATCACTAGAGTAGGGCGATCTGCTGTTCAGTTTGGCTATGAAGTGCAGAAAGCAATGTGGCAGCTAGAGATGGAGAGAAGGATTTTCCCCAGATAGTTTTGATCGCCACCTGTCTGTTGTTGTTTTATCAATCTTCTTTTGGTGCTGGAGGGTAAAGCCGGGCTCTATATCCCCAGCCTGTTTAGGGTTTTCAGGTAGAACTGACAGCAGACCGTACAAAGGTTGAGCAACAAAGCTCTTAAGAGGCAAAATCCAGAGGTGAGGCAGAGGACAGGACAGCTGGGCGTGGGGACGCTGCAGACGGGGGATACCGAGGGCGCCTCTGTTTCCTGACTTTCCTTAGCTTTGCGAAGACGTGAAGGCATGGGCTAGTGAGAGAGGGTGGGGATGTGCAGGGACGGGTCCCGACTGCCAGCGTTCACTGAGGGCGCAAGGGCGGCCAGGAGGCACACACGGCAAGGACGGAGGGACCGAGGGACGGAGGCCGCCTCTCCCCTTTTCCAAGTACGCACCTGCTGGTGACACGGATGCAAGTGAATACCAATCACGGAACAGACTGAAGCCAGCGATACTCTTAAAATCATATTTTATATAAAATAGACATTTACATAAATTTTACTTTGGAAAGACCTAGGCAAAGTACACATAATCATGGGAGGAACACTTTATGGGACACAAATTTCTCACTGGAACAGCAAAGTCATGAGAGCGCACAGTTACATACAATGGTTCCGACAGCAACTAAGAGCGCTGTGAACAAGGGTGATGACGATTCACTTCCTTTCCCCCTGCCAACGAGAGGGCCGGCCCTACGGGAGTCACAGCAAACCCAATCGTTTCCACGTTACCAAAGCAAGAGGCGGCTTCTACAGACCTTTTCAGTCCTTAAGAGGAAGGACTCTCTTTTCCCCCACTAAAGTAACCAAATCGATAAGAATTTCCAAATGCACAGACTACAGAATAAAAGCAATCATATCTACCACGGGAAAGCACTTGGGCAGTGCAGCAATCGCAAGGTTGCCTCTGAGTTCTGTCACAGTGATCCTCTTGAGGATCAGTTAAACAAAGAGCAGCACCTCACCGGTCCCCTCCTCCGTGCAGAGCACTGTTCACCCGGAGGTCAAGCCCCTCTGCGGAGGCTCATAGAGCTGAGCGGGACCCGGAAGCCACCCAGTGCTCTGAGGGACTGGACTGAGACACCGGCAGCTCTCTGGGGGCAGAGCTAGATGTCTTGATTCTTGGACTAGGGTCCCACCCTCGTATCAACAAGATGAACGATCCCCACAGGACAGTACATAGACCGACATCTACCACACACGACACAAGCAGACAGTGGGTGCACACAAACAATGGGAAGAAGGTCCTGGATCTCTGCAGGTTGACACCTCTTCACCAATGGGAATTACTGGTGAGCAAAACTCCCAAACTGATAATGACCATGTATTGTGATGGGTGCTGATTCTATGAGTTACAGCCCTAAGGGTTTTAATTGAAAAGACCCTTGGTAAAAAAAAAAAAAAAGGGGAACATCTTGGTATGAACTGGTTGGTTGCTATGAGTACCTTACAATTTTACTTAATTATTTTACTTCTTCAGAACAAAGAGCTTATACAAAAATACTGAGGGAAATGCTGTTTTGGGAACTATTCAAAGTATTTTTATTTTGTATCTGAAGCATTAAGACTGACCATAAAAACTTGTACTATTTCCCTATAGTTTCTTGGTACACTAAACTTTCTTTCACTTGCAGCCTAAATGCAAGATCTGACAATATACTCTTCTTAGGTGTTAGAAAAAGTTGCCATTTAGGTAGTCATGCTTGGCTGTATGTGGGAGCTACCCACTTACCATCAAATCAAAGTGAATGCAGTTTGTAAACAGGCTGGGTGGGACCACCTCTAAATTCTTGCTGTGAATGCCATTACTAATGCCCTCTAGACTTCCAAGAGGTGAGGCCGCCATAAATCAAGGCAAATGTTTCTGTTTGTGTATTTCTCTCTTCCCAAACTGATTCTAGTAAGTACAGTTAAGAAATAACTGACAGGGCTGGAGGTGTAGCTCACAGTCGAGCTTGTGTTCACCCCCCTTAGGAGGTGCAAGCTTCCATCCTAGCACTACAAGGAAAAGAAAAAGGAAGGATGCAAGGAAGGACAGAAAGGAAGGAAAGAAAAGAAATGCTTAACCAAAGCTCACATGTATGTGTTAGACAGAAAGACACCAGCGTAGCTATGAACGCTATGCCATGGACAACTTCTCTAATTCATAAAAATGTCAGTTTTAAATACTGGGCCCTGTGTCTAGTGTGTGAATGGCAGGGCAATGCCTCTCCATCAGCAAAACTAAGAATTCTGTGCGGAAATGTAAGGCCAGTTTAGAGTCAGTCTGGTTACAGCAAGTGCAAAATCACCCCCTAGCCACTGGCGTGTCAATCACAGAATGATAGCCTTAAGCCAACCCATCGTGCTGGAAATCACTTTTTCCAAGTCTTTGGCTCATTTGAGTCTACTAGTTAAAAGAACAAACTTCAAAAGATTGTAAACAACTCTTCCGTAATAATCATAAATTGCCATGAAAGCGGCCAGCCCTGCAATGAAACTGTCACTGGGACAGCCAGGAAGCTGGGATTTTGAAAGTCTCCATGGGTGTTTCCAAAGCTCGAGAGCCACTGTGTGTGACAGATCTCCTTATCAGCCTCACGCAGCTCTGCCACCAGGGCAACCCAGAACATCTAACAGAGAGACTAGGAAACAACAGCTTTGCTGTTAATTCTCCCTCAGATTAGAGTTCCTGCGGGTCAGTCTGGATGTTCTCACTGGGTCTGGCTGAAAGCAGCTGCCCAAGTACTGGGGAATTCTGTACCAAACTCAGTACTGTCTATGACGTATTTCAAAAGCTTATGCTAAGGATTCTGAAGTGCTTCAGGGAGTTGGAATTAAAGTGCTTATAATCCTCCTTGCTTTATTTTTATTTTTTTTTGGTACCTGGAATTGAACTCAGGACCTTGTGCTTGCCAGGTAGGCGCTTATGCTGCTGAGCTACATCCCCAGCAATAATCCTCCTGGTTTTGTGACAGGCTTCACGGTAAACAGCCTGCCAGGACTACATCATCTCCATATTTCCTAAAGGAAAATTTTTATTTCCCTCCAAGGGATCTGTATCTTTGGTTTCATTCATCTGTGTTACAGCACTGAATCAAGTTTGGTGAGTATCATTAATAAATCAAAAACATCTGAGTCATTTGAAATTTTTGAATAAAAAATAGATGAAATACACTGCTAAAGCCATTTTCATGTGTCAAAGGACATACACTGCCACGTATGATCACTACCAGATGAGAATGGGTGGGACACAGGACGTAAGGTCAGCGCAGACAGGCTGGGAGGAGGTGGAGGCAATCTGCATGAACTTGACCTGGAGCAGAGGAAAACACCGCCACTCACAGTAACGTCACAAAGGACACTGAGCGTCAAATTAAGGGTTCAGCCAGGACCGAGGGACTCCTCCGTCCACCTTCCTTCAAACCCACAACGTCTTACAGAATCCCAGGATGTAACACAAAGTGAAACTGAGGCCCTTATCTCAGCATTATTCAGAATTCAGGCAGAGCACGGCACCTAGGGAGGGAGGGAGGCCCAGACAGCAGGATGTGGAGGCCACACAGACGGCGCAGAGGGCCCACCGCGAGGCCAGCCCCGCGCCCGCACTTCAGACACAGGCGTCTGCCAGGGCACAATGGGCCGTCCGTGCCCAGCCAGGGCGCTCTGCTTTTCTTTCTATAAGGATGAACTGCACTGATTATTTCACATTACAAGGACCAAATAAAAAGGTACAAGATACACTTAACGCTTTTCAAAAGTGGAATGGGATTTATTTCGTTATAGGCACCATTTCAGCTGAGAAAACTATTTCACTGGGTTCATTTCTGTGAAGGATAAAAATATCTGACCCAACGAACCATGTTCCTTTTAAAACAGTGCTTACTTTTAACGTTCAAGGAGATGCTGGTGTGTGCTGGCAGACGCAGAGGAGAGACAGACAGCGGGATGACAGACAGACACAAAGAGGGAGAACGAATGAAGGGGGTGGGGGGCAGAAACCTCAAGGCAAGCTGAAAAAGGCTCCTGCAAATCACGTGACTCTTCCCCTCAGAAATGTTTAGGCCGTAATCGCCATTTTGATTACCCACCGAGTACACACTGCGCACCTCAGCGGCACTACAAATAAGGCATAATTACGTCACAATTTGAGGCTCGATCTCTTCCATTAATTTCCAAAGCAGGAGTTTTGGTTACAGACTATTGTGAAAAGCTGTGACAGAAGTCATAGATAATGAATGTTTGAAGCAAGGGGTTTTAAATTTAGGGGAAGGGGGTTACTTGACAATAAATACTATATTGCATTTTTTGGTTTTGGCCATAGAATTGTAATTTGAGAGAGAAGCAAGTATGACTTTGGACAAATTAAGGTCTATAACACTGGAAGACTTAGGTCATTGGAGTAATAATATGTACGCTACTGGATTACTAATGCAGAGAACCAACAGATACATGCTACCTCAAATTCTGCCATCATTTGTACTTAAAACATTCCCCCCGCCATTCTTTCCCAAAAGTTTTCTTCCCTTTAACAAGAGTAACACGGAGGAGAACATTCCTGACACGGGTGAGGGGAAATTTTCCCCGAGCTGACCAGCAGGGGGAGCCCGTGCGCCCTCAGGCGACACACTGCCTTCCCAGGCGGTTGTTTTTAATGACCAGGACCAAGTCACAACCAGGCGCTCCAATGTCTTCGCTTCCAAAACACACTGCCACCTAAACACCGAAGGCTGATCCCGAATTCTGTTAACTTTAGCGGTGAATAATCAGTACAATGTTTTTAGGGACTGTTCAAGTTGAACCGTTTTGTAACTTAGACTTGTATTTTACATACTTAGTTTTGGAAGCTGCTATTAAAACCATTATGTACAGAGAAAAAAAGTATGTATATATTAAATATTTTATAAGTTATGAAATAAATAACCTAAAAATAGATGTCAAATTGTGAGTTTAACTTTGCCTTCCTTATCCTTTAAATACAAATGTATATATTTAAAATTACGAATTTAGACTTCTTCCTCAGATTTTTATAGTATTCTCCAGGAAATCTCCAAAATTATAAATACAGGACAAATGCCAGGTCTCAACCACTTGTTTTAAGTACACAATTCTCACTAAGCCTAGGAAGACAAATAAATAGAGCTCTTTCCCTCTAGTTATAGTCTGTGAAGATTTTGTTATATATTGTAGATTCCTCAATGTTTAAATATATTTTCAAAAAAATAATAAATTCATGATGCCTAAACATTAATATAATAAAGTAGGACATTTCTTAGTTAATATCTTTAATATTTTCTATGTAGAATATACTATTTTTCTCCACCAAAATAACAATATATTTGAAGGTGGGAACGTTTCTGAATTTAAATGCACTTTTGAAATCTTAGAGTAGAACCACTACTCTAGTAATATTTGTAACAAAACTTATGATTTGAAACATTAGGGGCATCAAGCTCCTTGCTTTTCCTGCAGGGATGAAGATACCCATGTACAACTCCAGAAGATTCCCTTTCACTGTATGAGGCACTGGGAAGACGTGCACCAGCGCAGAATTTCATTTATTCCTCAAAAGGTCTCCGGTAGCATCCTTAGGGAGACATTAGATAAAGCTCATTCAACAATAGCCCTTTTTCTCATATATTCTGTGTGGTTGTACAAAAGCTATTAGATACCTATTTCTGGTTCAGGAGAATTAACTGGGCCTCCACTTGGTACACCTTCCCCAGGGGCTCACCTAGAGGATTTATCCTCTTTGAAATAGCTCATCCCACAAAGAACAGATGCATTTCAATACCTTTGCATTACTGGGACATAAAAGTCTAATGAAGAAATGGCATTAGGTCTCCAGGAGGCAAAAGCACAGAAATGTCATCGAGGGAAACGGGGAGTCAGACTGAACGAGAATCTGTAAAATCTGCAGTTGCTGTCTTCTGCCCTCTCGGAACGTCCTGCCTTGCCGTTTTTCGTCTTTCACAGCAATGCCAGTCCCTCGGCAAGGGCAGACGGCCCGGGATGTGCGCCCCGAACTCGCTGTGAGAGGAGGCCTCACACGCTGTGCTCTGTGGATGCAGCAGCCGGGCCTCCATCACCCCGTCTCTTCCGGAGCCACCAGCACTGTCCTACGGGACTGGGCCGGACAGTGCTATGTCTGATCCTTCTCTCGAACTTCCTGCAGTCGCTTCTCGAGGCGATCCAATTTGGCGAGGTTCTCCTTCAGCAGCTTGCTGTCTGGGACCAGCTGCAAGGCTCTCTTGTAATAAGCCCTCGCGGACACGTAGTTTCCCTGTGGGGAAGGAGAGGGAACAATTATGCTCGGATCCATCACAACTCTGAGAGGAGGGGCTGAGGAACTGGCCCTGTGCCGCTCACAGTAACGTTCGCACAAGGACACCTTGTCTGGGTGCGCAGCTCCGTCCTGTCTGCCGGAGCTTCGGAGAACTCATCTGCCTTCAGTACCAGACCAGACAGGGCATGCGAAGGATGACAGAAGTGAGCTAATGAGGAGGGAGACTGTCAGGAGACCAGCTTTTCCTAGTGCTCCCACGGGGCTGGCAGGGTCCTCTCCCACCAAATGGAGCCACGTCTGGGAGGCGGGTGTGTTTTGAAAAGAGTCGCGGTGTCCACTAGATCTTCAACTCTAGTTAGTTACTCTAATCTTCAACTTAAAACTTAACAGCAGCTTCTGTCTATATAATGAAAACGGTGATGGAATTGTGATGCAAGCTTTATATAATGAAAATCTGATAAAAATATGGGATCCCATTTATGTGTTACTCAGGCGTGCGGCCACATGTACCAGCAGGACACTCGCAGAGCAGGAAGCTGTCACTGCGGCCTGCTAAGCACTGTGACCCCATGCTCTGCTGGCGCTCCTCCGTTTCATCTGAGTTCCTAACGAGTGTGTGCCTGGTCCCACACACTCTGGAAAACAGGTCACAACTCGTACCTTTCCCCAGCCCCTTTCCTGATCGGAAATGAATTATTTAAGTCCTCTATTGATTCACCCTTTCAGATCTGTATCCTGCAGTCTCAGAACTAAGATTTTAGCGTCCTCTTCCTTCTGAAAAACGTGATTTGCTTCACCAGATTCTCCCTTACAGCTCCCACGTGAATGAATAGTGACCGCCTTTCCATCACAATTGAGAACTGTATCCCTTAGAGTAACAGCACCGGGTGGCAATTAGCACTCGTGTTTACTCGGCACTCAACTGTTTTCCAAGTAAGTTACCTTGTAGCCAGAGTGCAGACACTGCCGGATCAGGCCACGCCAGGGGCCCTCAACACCGCTATTATCAGGCCAAGATCCACTCGGGGCGGGCGTCTGCCTCTCACGCTGACACCAGTCACACTTGGGGGAAGCGGCAGTGGGAACGGCAGAGTAAGAAGGAACACTGGGATCTAGGTGCTGGTATGTGCAATAAATGGAAGTGTTTCTGACTATAAACACCGACCCTGTAAAGAGGCTGAACAGACTGCTGAACAAGTGTGAAATGAACCCCAGCTCTGCTAATTTCACTTTTGAGGACCCACATTTTCAGGAATCAAGTGATTTGAAGAGGAAATTAACAGTGGGCTCTGAGTCCTTTAAGAGCGAGGAGGAGGACAGGGCGCGCCAGGCCTCCTACCTTGATGTGCTGGATCCCTCCCATGTTCATCCAGGCCTGCGCCTGCTCCGGGTTCAGGGCCACGGCCATTCTGTAGCTCTGTGTGTGTAAGAAAGAGCCTCCGGTTAGGAGAGGGACACCTTTCCTTCCCTTCCTGTGCTTTGCACTCGCGAGCACTTCAGTGGTTAATACACCAGGACCGGTCACGCCCAGCTCGGGGAGGTCCTGTTTATTTCTGTTATTTTTCGAAGTCAATGATTCTAAAGCAGAAGAAACTAAAGTGTGCAATTTCTCTGCAGGGCTAATCCGTGGACTCATGCCATCCGAGGCTGCCTGCCGGGAATCCAGGCGATATCTATAATAATGCATCATTTCCTGCTGGCTTTGACCTGCGAAAAAACAGCACTTTTTGCCCTTCCTCACATAAATGGAATTGGTAAGGAAAAAAAGTCTTTTTGAAATCATAGCATCTGGGGCTAGGAGTATGGCTTAGTGGTGGGGAACTTGCTCAGCATGTGTCAGGCCGTGCATTTAATCACTAGCACTGAGGAGAAAGGAAAAGGAAATAAAAATCAGAGCCTAGAGTAATTTGCAGCCAGCTTAACTGTGGTGTAGCAGCCCCTCTGATAATATCATTGACCTGGCTACTCAGCCCAGGCCTCCATTCCAAAAACAAGACGCTCACTGACCTGCTTTGCCAGGGAACAGTTTTAATCACTAGAAACTCTTTTTTCTTCTGCTGCTGCATAAAAAGTCTTCATATGTTCCAACAGAGTTGCCTATCTCTCCAGCACTTTCTTTTGTCTGAATAACATGTAACCTACCAAATGCAGTACCTGTGGCGTAGATCTTTAATACTATGACTAGTTTTGCATTGGAGCTTAGCTTACCATGTAGTCCTAACTTCGAGGGCTCTGCTTACGCAGAGCCAAGGGCTCTACAAAGCTATGGATCTTTTGTGTATTTTAATGTTCTCTGCTATTTTTATTAGCAAAAATGTAACCAAACAAATCCACCAAATAAAATCTAGTCCATTCCCTCTGGTTTTAGGAGAAAGAAGTAAGCTTTGAGGTGTGTCTCTTGGTTTATTTAGATCAGCAGAGACGAGTATAGGAGAGAAAAGCTGATGTGTGCCCTGGCTCCTCCTCTTACACCCTGGGTGACTTTGAGCAAGTTCTACAACCTCCACGTCAGCTCGCAGTGGAGGAGTGATGACAATGACCAGTTCTCTCCCACATGAGCCCTGCAGAGATTAAGTCACTCTGTACACACGAGTCCCACACGGAAGCGCTGGTGCACACGAGCCAGGGACGCCGGCCGTGACCTCCTGCTCCCCTTTCAGCCCGGCTGCTCTGCGACGTCTGTCTGATCGATTCACCGGACGAGAAACTAGGAAATGCTTTTCTTTCAACAGCACGTCTCAAGATACAGATAGATGTAGATACGAGAATTTTCATAAATTATTAATAATTACCTTGACACCTTAACTATAAATACCTTAGGAATGAAGATATTAAAAGTGCTCAAGAGGCACAGAAAACCGCACAATTTCTAAAAGGAAAGCATACAATGCCTCAGAGAAAAATGTCACAACTTCTATTGCTGTTTTAAGAGTTCACATTTACACGAGTTTCTCCAAATCTCTTCTGCTTGCTTTACGTATTTATATGAATATAGGTATATCACTGTTTATATATTTACACGAATATAAATGTATATCTATATAGCTACATTTACATAATACATCTACTTTTTGCAGTACTGGGGATTAAACCCAGGGCAAGGGCTTTGCTCCTGAGCAGCTGCCCCAGCCTCCAACGTATTTTAAAAACCACTTGTTCATTTATTTTCCAATATAACTGTATCATTTTAGATTCACTTCGACTTGTAGTGTGATTTCGTAACTTCACTCGTCCCACCTGGCGGCTTTAGCTCTGCCGCTGAAGTACGGCATCAGCATTGTTGAAGTGGCTGTCTCTGTAACCCTATTTATGGTTTTGTGTATCTTCTTGATTTTGAACTTTTGATCTGGAATAAATTTGATTCATTCCAAGCAATGTCCTATCACACATACACAGGCACATACGGAGGGGCCAGGAGCAGCCGACAAGCCGTGTAACCGTCACTTTCCAGTACCCGGCACCTGGAGGAGCGTTTTCTGAGTTGGAAGCAGCACTGGAGGGGCAGGCTGTGTGCGGGGGACACGGGAATCTAGCAGGGGAGCCGGGCGGTGAGGACGCGCTGTCACCAGGACTCTCTGCACACCAGTGTAGCTGCAATACGTGCTTCTCACAGCCAAACGGAGAAAGACAGGCGGGCAGACAGGGTATTTTGAGGCCAAAATGTGAATGTTCTGACAATCAAGTTAAAGGTATAACTGAAGAATGCACTGCATAACTCTGAGTAATCACAAACCACAGGCTCAAATATAGAAATCAACGGATACCACTACGTCAGTTAATCCGAAAACTCACCCCGCGAACACGCCAGTGACATTAGATTTTGCTGTGTAGGCGTCATTACAGATCATGCGAGAATTTACTGTAATCTATAAATTCAGTAACAAGTTCGGCCTATTTTACCTCAAAAGCTTTATCAAGAAGGTTCTGCTCCCTTAGTTGGTTGCCTTTTGTGAAAAAAAGTTCAGATGCAACTTTGGGGTCCTTTGGTTTCAGCTGGAGGGCCTTGTCTATAGCTTCCAGTGCCTGAGGAGGGGCAAAATAAAGACGGATAAACACAGGTCGGTCGGCGACGAAAGGTGCAGTGGCTCCACGTGCGTTAGTTGGTGTACAACAACCAAACGCACTCTTCGTTCTTTCATTTTCTCCTTGAGAATTAACGGCACTAACAAAATAATTTCCCTATACCCAGCTCATTAACACATCAATGACAGAAAAACCAAACCAAAACAAATCTTTTCAGGGAGGTGGTGGAGGGGAGCTGGACGGAAGCGGGGCTGGGGCGGGGCGTGCAGCCTCACCGCTGCCGCCCCCCACCGCTCAGCCCTGCGCATGCGCCAGGTTCCCTCAGTCCTCGAACCGCGACTCCCCTGCAGGGAAACAGCCTTTCCAAGCACACACCTGACCAAGCCCCTCGGCTGCGTAAAACCCCAAACTTTTTCCCAACAGAGAGTACAAAACCCCAGGTCCCAGCGTCTGGGTCTGTGCCCCACACTGCAGGCCTGCTCTCACACCCATTCCTGGGACAGGCCCCCTGCTGCTGCCACAGGACATTTGCGTGGGCTATTTCTTGTCCAGAATGTTCTTTCCCTGCTCCTTCTGCTTAATCACTCCCAGTAACTCCAGCCCTTCCTTCACATCGTTTCACAGGGAGATCTGGCCTTGCAAGCTGGGCAGGTGCCCTGCTCACATCCCTTCATGGTATCACCGAGCACAGCTACGATCACACTTGCGTGTAACTGCTTGCTTGTGCGGGCTCTGTCTCCTCTCCTACAGGAGCGCGAGGACAGGCAGTGTTCTCTGTTGGGCGTATCACCTTAGTCCTAGCCTCCAGGGCAGAGCAGGCACTCCACAAATATCTCCCCGAGCTGGCTCATGGTTTCACTGCTTATGTGATTTTAAAGTGGAGATAAAGAAGAGCAGCTAAACCCTAGCCAGCCTTACAGGGCTGTCAGGCGGGTGACACGGAACTATTTTAGAAGAAACAAAGAAAATGCTGAAAGCACATGAACGTCAGTCTCTCTAGAATTGGCTAAAATCTAACAGATAAAATTACATCAAATGTTTAGACCAGGGAGAAGCCAAAGCACACACATTTCTCCGAGACATCTTAGGAGTTCATCTGTGAGAAGCTCCTGCAAGACCGGGAATCCCAACCTATAGCGTCACTTCCCAGCCACGGACGAGCTAGCGGGAGTCACAGGCACACCCCCCGCCCACTCAGGACACCAAGGGCTTGGCTACCTTGTCGTGGGCCTCCTGCTTGCTGTAGATGGCCGAAAGGAGGCGGTAGCACTCCAGGCACCCGGCCTCCTCCGACACAATGTGCTCGGTCATCTTCTCAGCTTCTTTCATCTGACCCATGACCGCCAAAACCTGCGCCTGCAGAAGCACAGGGGCCCGGCCGAGAAGGTGCTTTACGGTTGCTCCTCACACAGCGCCCCCTCGGCAGAGGCCCTGAGCACAGCCCTGCCCACAGCTCAGCCTCTCCCTGCGCCCCGTGGGGAAGGCCGGTGGCCAGCGGGGACGTGGGACTCCCGCGTGCCTCGCGCATTTACTAAGGGACGTTCGCGCACTGTGCGTGTGTGGCAAGAATGCCGCCGACAGCACGGGCTGCGCCTCCTGAGCAGGCTGCCTCACCATGTCGAGACGAACGCCTTTCTAGGACGTCAGAGGAACACCATGTTGGCAGGAGGATAACGCATTTAATTTACTGAACATGTAAGAAAAGGAAGTCCTGAACACTGACATGAAGACAGGGCCGCTGTGCATGCGAACACCGCGAACAGCCCTGCAGCCTGGTTCTTAGGGACGGCGTGCAAAAGCGCGGGCGCGAGGAAGGAGCGCGATCGTGTGACTCACACGTTTCAGAGAACACACGTGTGCCGTGCACCGCAGTAGGTGCACGTGTGCATGCTTAAGCGTCTGAGCATGCATATGTGCGTATATGACAAGAGAAAGGAGCGTGTCAACGTTAAAAGTCTGTAGAGACAAGGGAAGGGGTACTGACGGGGTAATCTATCTCTTCAACTCTTCTCGTTTTGTCGTGCAGAGCTGGGCATGGCGCCAGGGCGTCGTCCATGCTAGGGCCAGGCAAACACTCTACACGGAGCTACAGCCAGCCTTGCCACTTTTCCTAAGCCTGAAATTATTTTGAAACAAAGCTCTAAGGATTTTTGGTATCTGTGTCTTTGGCGGATGGCTGTAACCTGGTGATGAGTATCACGCGGTAGACACGGCAGACAGCGTCCCCGTGCCAGCTCTGTGCCTTTGGCCTGGCTTCCTATTGTCTCTGCCCCTACTCACCAGTGCCAGGTGCGGCTCCCGCTGCGAGGGCTGGAGTGCCGCAGCCTCTCGGTACACCTGCAGCGCCTCCTCATAGCGGCCAGTGTTGTAGTACAGGGCTCCCAAGGGCGATAGGGTCTCGGCGTTGCGGGCCACCTGCAGGGCTCTGAGATTGGACAAGGCAGGCTGACACTCCTAAGCGGCACACTTCCAAGGGCTAAGCTCAGCCAGCCTCTGAGGATGAATGCGTCTCTGCTGACCGCCTCACCCCTGCTAAGGTGTGTGTGTGTGTCTTTCCTCCACTCCCACTCTGAATCTGCTATTTGCAGTCTGGACTGCAGCTCACAGCTTTAGGAAATTATGGATGAACGGCAATGGAAATGAAATTCCATCTCTGCTTCAGCACTGCAGCTATGCACAGGGAAACTCAATGCCCCGGGCACCATTGTAATGCACTGTTCTCTTTCGAAATGGGGATCTGTACACCCGAACTGGCAGAATTTGCTAATACTGTATTCTGACAGCCTGTCTCTTCTAATTAAATAGAAAGTTGGTGGCATCTTCTGAGGTCTCTAGGCAGCTTAGAAAGTGAAGAAATGAACCAGGCACAGTGGTGCATGCCTATAATCCCTCAGGAGGCTGAGGCAGGAGGATTACCAGGAGTTCAAGGCCAGCCTGGGCTATGCAGTGGGTGCAAGACCAGCCTGCACTACACAGTGAGACCCTGCTTCAGACAACAACAAAACAGACACAAAGTGAGGAGAAGGACCTGTACCGTTTGTACCACTCTTCAGCCACGCTGTTCTGGCCCAGGGACCTGTAGAGTCTGCCCAGGTTCACCATGGCCACGTGGTGGCCGGGGCTCAGGGTGACGGCCCGCTGGTAGTGGGCCACCGCCTTCTCTGGGGAGCCTGTGGACGTGACGGTGGGAGAGCGGGGCCCGCGTTAGGCTCATCGTCCACCACAAACCGCCCCTTACAACGCAGCCTCCCTTGGCATCCCATTCTTGGTTTAACTTTGGACCGCTCTCTTCTTCACTTACATTCCCGAGGAAATTAACGATAAAACAGCAGTAAAGACTGAGGCCTGCTGCTTTCACTCTATCAGTCGCAGTGTTTCTGGCCATCGCCCTTGTGGCTGCCGTGTTTGGGTGAGCAGCGACTGTCACTCACCCTGACGCGGCCGCCTCACTCTGCACGGAGCAGAGCTGCAGGAGGCAGGGCAGGGTGGCTCGACCTGTGGGCCAGGTGCTGTTCTGCCCTGAAATCTCTTTTGGAGTCACACTTTTTATTTAAACGGCATTTGTTTAATGTGACTGTAAATAACAATAACCCCCTTGCATTTATCCAATGCGCTATGTATTTTAAAATGCTTTTATCTGCATGATCTTGGTAGGCATTCTGGATACTTCTGATGCTATGTAGCTGCCTCTCAGGATTTAAGGGATATTTAATCAGAAACAAAAATGAAACTACTACTTTAAAGATACAGGCATAAACCCCAAAGACCCAAAGTATCCAGACAAAGCCCCAAGAGAGTGAGGCGGAGGCCAGGCCCCGGCTCCCAGAGACGGCCCCAGGGGTGTACCGCTGTGTGGCTGAGCCTGGGAACAGCCTGCGGTTCTCGGCAGAACGGGACCTTCGGTATCTGCAGAAGCCTCCCGGGCACTGGCTCTGAACACAGTGCGACTAAACAACCAAAGAGACCACGTCCTAACGTGGCCAGCGTGTGGTCACTGTCCTTCTACAGAGCGCGGACTGGAACTGTTTGCTGCTGAAGTAAAGGACCAGGCTAAGAGGGCTCTTCAGTTTTCATATTGTTAATACTTAATTTATTAGTGTGTGGCTGATGAACCAGCAGGTGGCGCCACACAACAATTTTACACGCAAAAATGAGGTTCCATTGCCTGATGCATCTGTGTGGATTTATATATTCTGTAAACAAGAGAGCTTCGCATATCCTAGAAAATAAAGATCCTTTCAAGCATTTCATATTGAAAAAATAATTAAAATGGAATTTTACTGCAGGGCAGCTAGTCTAGTAGTCAATAAGAACAAAGTGGTGCTTCAGATTAAATTCAAATATCATTTCATTATTTGTAAGTGTTCATTACATGCCCACGGTAGAAGGGGCTCTGCGCATGTCATAACTGCAGTCCCTGCCTAGTAATGCTTCGCACTAAATAATATGAGGAAAGTGGATTTTACATAGCACCAGTCACAGGAGAACACTATCAATTATAATAAAGCCGATTCCATAGCATGTATCGAAAGGGAGCAATGAAATGATTCCAGAAACTTCTTTCCTCAGTGAAGTGCAGTACAACATTTACCATCTGCTGCGGTGGGTGCTCAGGCAGGAGCCGCAGGGTGGTAGGGAGCATCTCTCATCATGGGGGACTTAGCAGCTTTTGCAAGCGACACCCAGAGAAGAACAGGCTCGTCAAACGGGCAAGGCTGCCTCCTGCCACCTATACTGTTTCCTCGAGACTTCATTATAAGAAATGGGCAGATTTTACTGAGCTGAGCTTGAAGGACGGCCCAGGTAACCAGGCGACACTGGGAGCAGGAGTTTGCGGCAGAGCGCGGATTTGGTTTCTGGGGTTCCTGGGGTGACGGTCACTGTGCTTCTCGGATCGCGTTATCTCCCAGCACAGCTCCCTTCTCATCACACTCACCAGAATCCACTAAGAAAACGCCGTAGTTGTTGTGTAAGTCCGAGCTGTCTGGACAGTTCTTTATTCCAGCCTGGTATATTTCTTCGGCTTCTTTAAATCTTTCCTTTGAAGAGAATAAAAAACAGGTTTGACAAAGTTTTTAAAGATCAACACACTGAGGATTGGTAGTGGGACAAGTAGAGTGACTTGACTGAGCACCTCCTTACAACAGATCCTAACTCACACGCTCCGAACTCTGCCTGAACTGAAGTCGGTATTAACTGTGGACGCAGGAGTACAACTCCGAGCTGTGTTTAGCTCCTCTATAGCCGACAAGCCAATGTTTACTAAAACGGGACAGCTGGGTGGACTGAGAGCTGCCTCCAAACAGGTCTGAAAACAGCTGCTTGTAGGCGGTGCAGCCTGCGCTGAGGCAGTGCTCTTGCGGGATGGGGCGCTCACGGATGGGTCTGAGAACTGCATTTGCGGAGACCCCTCTTCTCTGACCTACACTGTAAGGTTGATTTCAGGAGGTTTTCAAGGCATGTGGTGAGGGAAGGCTGATGCAGACTATGGGAAGGGCTCTGCCCTGACTTTCTTTGCCTGAGGTCTCATTTCTGCAGCTCACCATGCTGTGCGCTGCTTTCTCAGTCTGCGTTCTTCGTCTCCGAGTTGGCCCCTGTGAGGCCCGTGCCGGCCGGAGGTCATTTCAAGGCACCCCTCCGGCCTGCCAGCTACACCCAGCCCAGTCTCAACACCCTGACCCCACGGCCACCTTCTAGCTGCCTTTTTCTTCGATTCATTTAAAGATTCAGGCCAAAGAAGGATAAACTTGAGTCATTTGTAGGAAAATGGACGCACCTGGAGACCAGACCACAGCGCTCAATGAAATAAATCAGACACACAGTTTAAATATTGCGTGGTTTCTCTTATATGTGAAACCCAAAGTATACATAATTTAAAGAGCAAAATCCAAGAGACACAATAGGAAACAGGGAGATAGATCTTTTGTAAATGGGAAGGCAGGGGACAAGAGACGGGAGAAGGAGACAGAAGTAAGATGTGTTTTGTACCCGGATCAACTCCCCAGGAGAAGTGCAGCCATTACACATATGCGCTGCACAATCCTACGCTAATAAAAGTGAAACGCTAAAAACAAAAGGCAAACCAGACGAGAGAGTCACACTAACACAGTTAATAACCCTCAACGAACTTTTTGGTACACTGTTCACACATATCTGGGATTGTCATGACTCTTTTTTAAAACAATATAGAAGTTAAAATCTAGTTAATCAAAGGTTCTAAGAATTATCCACCTGTAAACAGTTTCATTCCTTGGTGCTACTGTGAAGGTCAGGTAAGCACACAGCGATTTTTCCTGAAGACGCTCTGAGGACAGTGCTTTGAAACCTTTATCACAAGTTACTCCTGCTGAGCTTCCAAGCTGACACACCCAAAGGGAAGGCGGAGCTCAGTTTCTTAGGCTGAGGATAGGAAGCAGTTACACATTTGCACTAAGTGCTCCGCAGTAAGCTGAGTTAAGATCCGATTTGACTGAGAAAGGAAAATATTTTACCCTCTGTAGGTGACCAAAGCCCTCGGTTTGATTCTGCATAACTAAGCAGCACTGAGGAAAAAGGTGAGGGTTGTGTTTGGCAAGTATCCCTTATTTTAATTAAAAATCCCCTATTCTCTCAAAAAGGAGGATCTGTGCTTCTAAAAACGTAGAGCTTCTTCCAAGTACTTGTCCAACTCAATATAGTTAAAGATAAACAAAAATCTTGAAATATTTCTTTTTCAGTCTACGAAGAGAAGAAATGTTTTATGACCACACTGTCCACCGAAGGGCTGGCCACTTTGTGTAATGAGGAAGGCCCAGCATAAATTCTATAAGATCCAATCAGTACATAAAAGACATCGCTAGGTGTTGTTCATTTATCCAGCCATTCAGCACCCGTGAGCTGCAATCACCATACAAACTGTGGCACAGACATTGAGGACTGGGCTGAGGTGCCTGACAATAGGGGTTGCAGTCCCAGCCCAACTATCTATGTCGTGCACCCTTAATGTCCCTGGGCTCTAAAGGAAAAACAGGAGTCACAGTGGTTCCTGTCTCTGGGTTTGTGGTGAGAGATGCGGACACTGAAAAACTGCACAGCACTTAGAATGACGCCCAGCAAACGCCCGGTGCTCTATGTGTCAGTAAGCTTCGGGCCTGGCCGTCAGCACTGGGAGGAGCACCGGAGTGACTCTCGGTGTTGTGCTCCTGGGAGAGAGATGTCGGAGGAACCGGGAAGAGCAAAATATGATCCTTTAAGGGGCGCAAAGACCAACAACCTGACAAGTCCGACCAGACGTGAGCGAAGGGTTACAGAGGCTGGCGGGAGACGCTCTGGAGGCCAGGGGGCCCGGCCTTGTCACTGGGGCACACCAGTTAGGACCATTTCCAAGAGGTGTTTCCCCACTGCTTTCAAGTCTCTCTCCAAGTAACTCTACATGGGAAATAGCTAACTCGGCTTTCTTCTTTTATTTTTCTTCATCACCTTCTGCACAGAGGTCAAATATCACTTTATAGCTTAAAAGCAACCAGAGAAAAGTAGCCAGAATAATCCTGAACTGGATAGTCAGTTTCTGAAAATCCTAAGCTGCCTGAGTTCTTACTCAACCAGTGTTGATGTCTGATATCTTCATCTCTGTTTTTAAAAGATCAAATTTTCTAATTTACCTGGAACTCTTAAGACACATTGACAAGGTAAAATAAAAATTTCACAAGAAATTACTTAAAATATGGATGATATTTTCAGCAAAAACAACAAAAACCCAAAAGCACAGAGTATTAGGGCCAAGAGAACAAAAACAGACACTAGTTTACCATGTCTCACACCTATAATGCCAGCACTCAGGAGGCTGCGGCAGGAGGGTCTCTGCAAACTCGAGTAACCTTTGGGCTACATAGTGAGCTAGAGGCAGGCAAACTATATCATGAGACCCTGTCTAAATAAAAAAAAAAAAAAAAAAAATGAAGACACTTGCATACGGAATGGTTAAGACACCCCAAATCTCTGCTGGGGACAAAGACGGGAACCTAGGTTTTCAGAGGGCACACAGGGACATGGTGATACTCAAATAAAAGCAGTATTTCTGGAAACAAAAGAATGGGTCTGGCATCAATGGGGACATTTACACTTTTGGTTTTGTGGGCATCACCCCTGTGCCGGGTACACAGCGGAAACAGAACAGTGTACGACACTGACAACTGCCGCCCTTGCAGACAGCCGAGTTGCACTCAGACGAGAGAGCCTGCGATGTCACGGTCGCTGTCACAGAGGAGCAGCACAAGGCAGCGGGGCGGCACCCAGCCCTGCCGTTAGACAGACGCCCTCCTCCAAAAGCCTGAGGACCGTCTACCATGAATGACAGCAGCAAGTGACACAGAGATGTGTCTGGAAAAGTCCTAGCTGCCACCTCAGACCTTCGGACCATCTTTATAACCAAGCTGCATGAACCCAAAGCTGTCTTCCCTGAAGGAATAAAACTGATGCCTTCCATGGCCCCCCTTGCCAAAGGAAAATGCAGCAGCCAATGTTTAACTGCTGCTCTACCCGACCGAGTTTACCCTGTCCCCACCACTCCACAACACAGGAAGAGATGACCGTTCTCATCTACAACTTCTCTCTTGTTTTCGGCCTTCTGAGCTGCGCTTCCCCTAGAAACAGAACTTGCCAGGTGCAGAGAAGTAGTGGGATTTAGAAGACCGCGCTGCAGCGTGCGTACCAGCCCTGTTCCTTCCATGAGCCGATGGCTGCTCCCAGGCCCCGTGACCAATGTCCTCAGCATCTGTCCTTCTCTCTCTGGCTCTGCGTCTCCAGGAGTGATTCGCTCTGCACACGAGCAGAGGGACCAGCACGCCAGCAGGAAAGCAGCTCGCAGCGCCTGAGGAGCCCCTCCCCTGGGCGGCAACGCACTGCTCTGAAGCGGTAGAATTAGGGGCTCCGTTCCAAGCACTCACCGTCCTTCACCTCCTCTGGTCACAAGTCCTGAACCAGAAGCCTGACAAGTCCTGGTCTCCGCAGACTTGCTTGGTCCAGAGGAAGTGAGTATCACCAATTTACAGGCCAGCTTTCACTAAAAACGCCGTGACCAGAGAAGGCTGTGACGAGGGACCCTGCCTGCTCCACACCACAGCCAGCCACGCTGAGCCTCAGCACCCAGCGGCCTCCGGGGGCAGGAGCGAAACACAAAGATGCGCACGGGGCCCACCTTCCCGCGCCCAGCACAGACCTGCTACCTCTGCAAAAGCCCCCGACTGTACTGTGCTCCTGTGGGCTGCGCTCAATTCACTGGACCGGGCTGGATGGCAGACAACGTGGGTCTGGGTTCTTGGTTTTAGATCCGTTTTGAACTCTAACAATTCCGGGGCTCCCCTACCCCCTCATTTATGTGGGCTACATCTGTCTGTGTTCGCCACATTGTAAAGAAGCTGAGAAAATTTTAAAATGTTTATTAATTTGTTGAAAATAATAAACTCAAACATATTTATATGAAATACATTTTCCAAAGCAAAACTAGTTGGAATGGTGGCACTGATTTACATTTTTGCAAATCACTTTTGTGTCTAGCTCAACAGAAGACGACGGGACTCCCATATGTATTTGTGTTAATATGTTATGTATGTATGTATGTATACACTTATCTGTCTGTCTACCTATCTACCTATCCTTGCAGTCACTACGGAACCAGAAGCACTCTACCACTAAGCTATATACCCAGACCCTTTTTTTTAAAATTTTGTGACAGGGTCTCACAAACTTGCTCAGGCAGGACTGTAACTTTTGATCCTCCTGCTTCAGCCTCCCTCAGGGCTGGTATCAATGTTTTATATGCTATGTGTGTGAGAGAGAGACAGAGAGACAAAGAGAGACAGAGAGAGACCACAGACTCTGGAACTGAACACAGAGCCTTCACAATGAGATACATCTCCAAATCCTTTTAAAAATTTTTTATTTTTCAACAAGGTCCTGCTAAACTGACTAGGCTGCACTCAAACTGGCAATTGTCCTGCCTCAGCCTCCCAGAGCACTGGGACTACAGGTGTGTGCCACCATGCCTGGCCTTATACACTTT